GCCATGCTGAATGTAAAACCTGATCGTTGGACTCATTCATCAGATCACTTTGAGAAAATGCTGGAAATGTGTGAAAAGTTGCTGAGAGAGGGAAAGGCTTACGTCGACGACACCGATACCGAAACTATGCGCAAAGAACGTGAGGAGCGCAAAGAGAGCAAGAACAGAAATGCATGTAGGTCGTTTGTGCATTCGAGGCGTTTTTATTATGTTATGCTGTTACTATGATGTAGAACTTTTTCTCACATTTCTTTTTTAGTCCTCATTATCATAGTGTGTGGACTCGGGTTAGGAAGTCTTCATTAGTCAAATCTGGTGCATTAGAGCAGTTTGCAATGCAGCGTTGTGAAATAATGTGCACTGAAAGCTAGTAGAAACTCTCCATGTTAGAACGAAAAAAATGCATGCTATTACCGTGGAAGTGTGCACTAGCACACTGTACTTGTGGTTTTATTTGGAATTACTCGGCTATCATTGATCACAGAAATTCTCCTAACATAAACAGCCGTGAACGGTACTCCTGTTCGTTTTTTTTACAATAAATACATGCATTTAAGCTCTGGAAACGAATCTTGCCTTATGGGAGGAAATGAAAAAAGGTACAGAAAGAGGAACGCAATGTTGTGTTCGTATGAAAATCGACATGCAGTCAAATAACGGAGCAATGAGGGATCCTACCATATACCGGTAAGCTAGTAGCTATGCCTCTGTGGTGGTACGATTAACTTCAGTGTTTAGATGTAAACCCGAAGAACACGTCCGTACGGGATCAAAATATAAGTGAGTTCTATGCTTCGCAGTATGTTCTATGCTTCGCACAATAAGTGTGACGTTATCGGGGAGAAAATCTCCACGTCTGGAATATTTTCGTGCACTTCTGTAAAAGAATATCCGTCCAGTCTTCAGGGACATTCCAGTAATGTACTACTTGCAGAGTGTACCCTACCTACGATTTTGCCTGTCCGATAGTCGATAGCGTAGAAGGAGTTACGCATGCTCT